TGTCGTGCGGGGGGGGGGGTATTCACACACACCAAGATATTACATGACTTACATTTGTGTTGGTATTCTCTGCTGCTTGCTCTTCTTTGTTCTCTTTTCTGGTATCTTAATTTATAATAAAAATTGAGATGCCGAAATTGTCTAGAGGCTCCTCTACATGACCCATGGCGCTGATTAAACATGTCTATGTTAGAAAAATATATTTAGATTGTTTAGTCCCTAGGAAATAAACGTAGGAAGGCCAAGAGACTGAACAAATATTCAGTTAATTAGATGCATTAACCATTGAGTGTGTTTCCTTTTAGTAATATCATCTACAACAGGCCTAGAATTAAATATATTTTTCTTAAGAACATGCATGCAAAGTTATATGTAAGAGTAAAGAATAGAGGGGTTTATTAATCCTAATAAATGCAGTATATTCTATTTGCTCAGGTATTATCCTTGGTCACCTTCTAATTTCAGGACTACGATCATTGTCCAGGAACCATGCAGTCATGTAAGGCCCCATTCACACTGAGCGATTTATCGCGCGGATCGCGGATATTTACCGCGCGATATCGCTCTCCAATGCATGGCAATGGGGCTCTGTCCGTCGCTGTCGCGGGTCGTGCGTCGCTACAGCAGGACCCTTTTTGGAGCTGATTTTGCCGCGATTCTAGTTTGCTCAATGCAACCATTTGCGCGATATCTCGCGGCAAACTGCGCGATATCGCACACAATGCAAATCGTGCGACAAACGCGCGATTTGCAAATCGCTCAATTTGAATGAGGCCTAAATCTCTGTGTATGTTCTTGGGTATGTCTGCAGGTGGCCTGACACAACACAACCCCCTATATTTTGATCACTTTCACGGCTCAGTTTCCCTGTTGAGGGTCATCTGGGCCAGTGTAACAACTACACATTGATTTGCTCACTGCTACCTCTTTAGGAGTGTTTGCCATAATGTGCTAGTATGCATATCATATTGGCACATTATGGCTGACTTACCTTGTAAAAGATATCCTCCAGAATGACATTGTCCACTTTTTCCTCCATTGCCGGCATTTCCAACTTCACCCATTCTTCTTTCAGGTTCAGCGGCTTTGGCCTATAGATTGGCTGGGCCGGCTCAATGTAACTTCCTCACATGAGCATGGGAATTGCTTTGTTTAAGCACAGGACCATGTTGAGCCTTTGCATTGAGCTGTGCTGAAAAAAAAGCAAATATTGCGAGCAGTATGTACAGGAGAGGAGTGTGGGGGATATGACAGGGGCAGTATGTACAGGAGAGGAGTGTGGGGGGTATGACAGGGGGCAGTATGTACAGGAGAGGAGTGTGAAGGATATGACAGGGGCAGTTTGTACACGAGAGGAGTGTGGAGGGTATTATGGGGTCAGTATGTACAGGAGAGGAGTGTGGAGTGTATAACGGGGGCAGTATGTACAGCAGAATGGTGTGGAGGATATGACAGGGGCAGTATGTACAGGAGAGGAGAGTGGAGGGGATGACAGGGGGCAGGATGTACAGGAGAGGAGAGTGGAGGGGATGACAGGGGGCAGGATGTACAGGAGAGGAGAGTGGAGGGGATGACAGGGGGCAGGATGTACAGGAGAGGAGAGTGGAGGGGATGACAGGGGGCAGGATGTACAGGAGAGGAGAGTGGAGGGGATGACAGGGGGCAGGATGTACAGGAGAGGAGAGTGGAGGGGATGACAGGGGGCAGGATGTACAGGAGAGGAGAGTGGAGGGGATGACAGGGGGCAGGATGTACAGGAGAGGAGAGTGGAGGGGATGACAGGGGGCAGGATGTACAGGAGAGGAGAGTGGAGGGGATGACAGGGGGCAGGATGTACAGGAGAGGAGAGTGGAGGGGATGACAGGGGGCAGGATGTACAGGAGAGGAGAGTGGAGGGGATGACAGGGGGCAGGATGTACAGGAGAGGAGAGTGGAGGGGATGACAGGGGGCAGGATGTACAGGAGAGGAGAGTGGAGGGGATGACAGGGGGCAGGATGTACAGGAGAGGAGAGTGGAGGGGATGACAGGGGGCAGGATGTACAGGAGAGGAGAGTGGAGGGGATGACAGGGGGCAGGATGTACAGGAGAGGAGTGTGGAGGGTATGACAGGGGGCAGGATGTACAGGAGAGGAGTTTCGTAGGTATGACAGAGGAAATAATGTATGGAAGCAGTCTCCGGGGAGTGTGTATTTGATAATGGTAAAAGATCTGTGTGTGTGTGTGTGTGTGTGTGCGCTGAAGGTGGGATATCACTGAAGAAGGCCAGGACGAGGAAGATTTGCACAGTGGCAGAGTGAAAGTAGAACATATGCATTATATAATATAGGATGTATTACTTATAATGTATTTAAACCTAAGTACACAATTAAATATATTGCAGTCTATCAGTCATTAGATGTGGTGCTGCACCGATTTAATTTTTTTAGGCACGTTTTCCTTTTTTACCTTCCAGTAACATACTTCCAGTCATGTGGTGACAAATCTCTCTCACTGAACCCTATCTTTGGAGAAGCAGTATTGTTACCCTAACACAGGAACTATTTTAGAAATACTGAACACCTCTCTCCCTCTCATTTCCATAACATGGGGGTGTCCGGTAGTTCCCAGAGATAACTGGCCAGGACTGATGACATTGCTATTATTGTCAGCTCATTTCGGGTCTCTGGAATTCTGGCAGGATCAACAGGATTTTTCTGCAGTTATGGAACAAAAAGAAAACCCTTACTACTAAAAAATGTCAGCCAGCTCCGTGCAAAATGTGCTGTTCATTATAGATGTACAACTTAGGAGTTTACAGATTGTCAAACACCAATCATAAAACTTTGTTGGCAAGTTGAAACACTCTGTACATTCTGAACGTATAAAGAAATGTTACTGAAAAATGCAGCTTCCTTCGTTGAAATGGCAACGAGGAGTTGGCAGGATTTCATCACATGATCAGAGACTTGCTACAGGAGGAGGAAATTTGTCATGTGCAAACATAGCGCAATGACCACAGAGGGAAGGAATATCTGGTAGGGAGCAGCCAGAGGCAGTGTGGTTCAAGCAACTGGAGATAGCCTCCAACGATGATGAGGGAGTGGATGATGAAGTGGCAGGACATCTGTAGGTGCCACTGAATGGAGAAGAGGACATTTCTGAGGGAGAGGAAGAACAGCAGTGAAGGACTGGAGATAGTTGCTGTCCTATTCTCTCTGACAGCACTACGCCACAAGTACAGGCCACTGCCAGTCCACCAAGCTCTGCAGTAGGGAATTTCTGTTAACATATCTTCTGCCAATAGCACCAATGTGGTCTGCAGCCTCTGCAGACCACACTCTGCAGAGTATTAGCTGTGGTAAATGTACTAGCCATATGAGTACCACATGTATAAGGAAACATGTGACTCTGCACCACAGAGCTTGGTGGGAACAGCACCTCAATGAGACAAGTCATCAGCATAAGGCCTGCGCTCCTCCTTCTCTTCGTACTTCAGTTGCTGCATCTCTCCAATTCTACAACATTCTTCTGCTGCATCTGCTGCAACATCTATGGCCTCTAGTGACAGTCAAGCAAATAGGGGAAGTAAAAGCAAAGTTGCCTCTAAAACACACAAAACCAAGCATACCATAGACTAGAAGATGTTACAGACTTACAACAGGCTGGGGGTGGTCTAATATGCACTCGGGGAACTAGGTTGCCCTTCTGCACATGTCCTGTCAAAGAGGGCCTTCAGCAGAGTGGGTGGGGTGTATGACTGAGAAACTGAGTTTTAATCAAATGAAGCAGGCCTGTATCATAGAGGATTACCAAACACTGGAGATGTTAGTAGTAAAGTCAATACATTTATTTCATATATGTTTTATTAAGAATAGACCAACATTTTTTCCATGATGTTTATTGTCTGCCTCTGGTGCTGAAATTTCCACCTTGGAGCACCCCTCCTCTTTCTTCTCCTTCCCATCTTTCTTTTTTTTTTAAGCATGTACATTTTTTTGATGACAAGTAAAGATACAGTAAACATACAACAATGCAAAGCTGATGGTAAAAACCATCACATTATCAGAAAAATAAGAAAATACAACAAAGAACATTAGTTCCGATAATTAACTGAATCGTTCTCTTTTAAAAATAATGTGACCACCTCCAATTCAATAAGCTCTTTTTTTAGATAACTCTATGTAATTTCTATCTCAACATTTACAGGGTTATTCACAAAAGGGTGAAGAGTTTGGAGAAGGCAGGAAAAGTGAACAATGTAGGACAGGGGTGCCCATTAGGTCGATCACGATCTACCAGTCGATCGCAAAGCGAACACTGGTTGATTGCAATCGGTTATGTCCTGTGGGGCTTCTCCTCTGGATCCCCGCTGCTCTTCCCCATCTGTATGCAGCGGGGATCCGAGAAGTGAAGGAAGCAGTGCAGCTGGCGGCAGGGGGGGCAGAGGGTGGAGCCGGTGTCACAGCAGCACAGTCGAGCAGTGCAGAGAGAGAGAGCCACTCGGCCAGGATCTGACAGCCGGCGGCTCTCTCTAATAAATTAATAAAAAATAAATAATAGACAATTAATAAAAAATAAAAAAACACATCCTGGAGGCGGGGCACTGGGTGATGTCACACACCTGTTGGGGGGCACATTTTTTTTTCTTGCCTCGGGCACAAAAGCAGCTAGCTACAGCTCTGCTCCTGCTGTGCTTGTGCAGCTGCTGGCTGAATGTGTCAGACGCTGCAGGCGGGAAGAGGCGGGACACCTCTCCCCGTGTTCAACATCGGCCACACGAGCACCGCGGGGGACAGGATGCCGGCACACGAAAGAAGACCTGGGAAGCTGCTGCAGTGGAGGCAAGAAAAGACAGACGGGCAACACCCCTCCACGAGGGACTACACCTTTTTTTCCCACCTCCACCAACGTTACACCCGCATTGATTTCTTTTTCATACACCATAGCCAAATTCCCTGGGTCACATCTACTGACATTGGAAACATAACTTTTTCAGATCATGCTCCTATCCTCCTCACCCTTTCCTTAGACGGCCCTCCCCCCGGCCCCTGGCAGTGGAGGCTGAACAAATCCCTACTTCATGACCCAGTCATCTCAGCTTCCGTTGAGCAAGATCTTTGTTTTTTCTTTCAAGAAAACACCTCTCCAGACGTGTCCCCCTATATCATCTGGGAGGCGCACAAAGCAACCATACATGGTTCCCTTATCGCTCATGGTGCCAGACTCAAAAAGCAACGACTTGCCGTATCAGCGGCCTTTTGACCCAGATACGACACCTTGAATCCCGCCATAAGGCCGCAGTTGACAAAACTGTTGGGGCACAATTGTGCTCCCTTCGGGAACAGCTCCGGGTTCTCTGCCTCACGAAAGTCAAGGCTTCCCTAACTAAATGCAAGCGATCATTTTATGAGTATGGCAACCAATGTGGCAAATATCTGGCGTGCCCTTCGTAAACCCCACGCTCAGAATCACATCCCGTTAATTACCCGCCCACCCGGAATCAAGTCCACCTCACCAGCAGATATCGCCACCACATTTAGTAATTATTACTCGTCCCTGTATAATCTCTCCTCTCACTCCTCCAAATGATGTCCCCAAACCAAGGTGGACGCGTATCGCAGAGTATATTACCAATTCGGAACATGCCCTCCCTCGACCCCTACATCTGTTCCCTCCTCGAATCCCAGATCACTCTCCCCGAGTGGGAATTCGCTATCAAATCCACCCACTCCGGCAAAGCCCCCGGACCTGACGGCTTCACTCTCACCTACTATAAACAATTTCTCCCCCATCTTTCCTCCCCCTTCCTATTAGCTCTCAATTCCCTGCGTGATGGAACCTCCGTCCCTCCTGAATCCCTCCTGGCCCATATCACGGTTATACACGGTTATAATGAAACATGGTAAAGACCCCTCCCTATGTCCCAGCTATAGGCCCATCTCACTATTAAATGTAGATACAAAACTCTTCGCCAAGATCCTATATTTCCGTCTTGCCCCTCATCTTAATGATTTGATACACTTAGACCAGGTGGGGTTTGTCCCGGCGAGGGAGGCCAG